AATTGCAAAACACCGTCAAATATGCCTGAATACTTACTGTATGGCTTCGTCGAATTCTTTAGTTCTACCTCGTCATGACGACAAATAACCAGTAATATTAAATGTGTGGTTTATTAAATTTTGAAAATATATTTATTTGTGCAATGTAAACTGAATTTTCCGTCACTATTCAAGAAAGTATTTATTGTCAAATTGCGCCTTGCGAAAGATAGGCGTCAAAAATGTACACTAGTGTGAACACTTTTCAGGTTTTCCAACGTCAAAAGTAATTTGTTGAAACCGCAAAGTGTGAAAGGGGCTTTTAGATTTACTATCTCGGGTGTACTGCGAGGAGGAGTATACTGCACTGTAATTCACCAGCTACAAAGATGGTCAATGAATAGTGAGTGTTTGTAATCATATCTTTCAATAAAAGGGCACCACTCGTCAGTTGCAATAAGTCGCAGGAGACAAACCACTCATTTTTTCATAATTTACATTTATCATGTCCACAAAAATCATTTGTACTTAACTTTTAGAAGTACTTTGGGCGAGTCACAAAAGCTTTTTGTATTCTCTTTTACCTGCCTGTTAGTCTGTTACAACAAGATTGAAAGTATTGCATGTCTCTCCCTAGCGACTCCCGATCTCCAGTCACACCTTGATTTTCGATCGCTTTTAACATAAAAGTGTGCAACTAGAAATAGATATACATAATAAATAAAAAATAATTAATATAGTATAATCAATAATAATAGTAATAATAATTAATAAGAATAATTAGTAATAATAATAATAATAGTAATTGAATAATAATAATAGTATAAATAATAATAGTAACTAATAATAATAAGAATAAAAATTACCTCTGAGATTACTGGCGGCTAGCATGCATAAAAAGAACCAAGAAAATTCAAAATTATAATTTCATTTTTTAGTTTACGAGGATAAAACTTTCCCCAATAGTTAACCAGTAATTGCAGCTCGCGGACATGAAGAATTCCAAAGTCTCCTCCTTACCGCTACGTACGAGTTGGCGAGCTTCGCCGAACAAGGCCTATCACCAGTTGTTGCGCTCGCTCCCTTGCTCCAGACGAGCCGGTAGTCACCACGTCCATCTCCCGAAAACCGCCTTCGGCGCACGCAGGCCGACTGATAACTTGTCGAGCAAAACGAATTACCTCCACTTGCCTGCATTTCGCCGAGTGGACAGGACGGAATGTTCTGTGTGTCTGCTCGGTTCTGTGTGTCTGTCGGGTCTGTGTGGGTCTGTCGGTCTGTGTGTCGTCGGTCCTGTGTCGTCTGTCGGTCTCTGTGTGTCTGTCGGTCTGTGTGTCTGTCGGTCTGTGGTGTCTGTCGGTCTGTGTGTCTGTCGGTCTGTGTGTCGTCGTCTGTGTGTCTGTCGGTCGTGTGTTCTGTCGGTCGTGTTTGGTTCCTTTGTCGGTGCTTGTGTGTCTGTATTCTCTTTGTTTTTCTCCCTTTTTTTTTAGGAATACAACGTTATTTTGGATATGACGTTATTTTGGATATGACGTTATTTTGGATATGACGTTATTTTGGATGTAACGTTATTTTGGATGTAATGGTATTTTGGATATAACGTTATTTTGGATATAACGTTATTTTCGATAGAACGTTATTTTGGATATCACGTTATTTTGAATATATCGTCATTTTGAATATAACGTCATTTTGGATATAACGTTATTTTGGATATGACGTTATTTTGGATATAACGTTATTTTGGATGTAACGTTATTTTGGATATAACGATATTTTGGATATAACGTTATTTTGGATATAAGGTTTTTTGGATATAGCGTTATTTTGGATATAACGTTATTTTGGATATAGCGTTATTTTGGATATAGCGTTGTTTTGGATATAACGTTATTTTGGATATAACGTATTTTTGATATAACGTTATATTGGATATAACGTTATTTTGGATATAACGTTATTTTGGATATAACGTTATATTCGATATAACGTTTTTTGGATATAACGTTTTTTGGATATAACGTTTTTTGGATATAACGTTTTTTGGATA